GTAGTATATTCTTCTCTCGAGAAACCAAACTTCGGGTCCCTCACGTTTAGTATGCGTGTACATATAACCGCCACACATTCATACATACTTGTATTCTTGTATTATTCCACGTGCCAATCTAAAAACAAAAAATAACCTTAAGGGAACAGATAACATCGATAAAAAAATTGGTGACTCTTATGTGCGAAGATTAGAAAAAAAAACTACAATCTTGCTGTATTTTTGCAAATAAGTAATGTGGCTAATTTCAAAGAAAAACAACAACAAAATTATGTGTCGTTGTCTTTTCAAATTTTATTTTGCTAATTCCGACACTTAACAGTATAATGTAACCGCAGATTTGTTTCCATTACTTTTAATTACGTTACATCCATAATGCATACGTTTTTGTATCAAAAGCAATAAAAAAACAAAAGTCCATAAATTTGATGATATTGGAGTGGAATGCGTTCACACGAAGGTTCATAAATTCATAGTGACATTTGTTTTTATATTTCCCCAATCGTCGACGACCTTATCCATATCTCTCTCTCTTTGTATTAGAAAATCTCAAATCCATCTCTCTCTCTCTGCTGGTTTTACGATCTTTGTTGCCAAAAAGAGAAGGGTCTCTCGAGACAAGTGTTAAGATTACAAATCCAACACCAGCTTCCTCCTCTCGACACGACCCTCCGCCATGTCTGCGCCAGCTATGTCTTCCCTACGCCACGTTGCATCACTCTCTTCCTCTATATATACACACTTACCCATTTCCTTAATTCTTTGCCTTATCAATAACCAAAACTCGTCACATCACAACATTTTCGAAGCTGTCAACATCCGTATATGTCATCCATAGAGCCAAAGGTGATGATGGTTGGTGCTAAGAAACAACGTACAGTCCAAGCTAGTTCGAGGAAAGGCTGTATGAGAGGAAAAGGTGGTCCCGAGAACGCTTCTTGCACTTACAAAGGCGTCAGACAACGCACTTGGGGCAAATGGGTCGCTGAGATCCGTGAGCCTAACCGAGGAGCTCGTCTTTGGCTTGGTACTTTCGACACCTCACGCGAGGCGGCCTTGGCTTATGACTGCGCAGCTCGTAAACTCTACGGGCCCGAGGCTCATCTCAACCTCCCGGAGTCCTTAAGAAGTTGCACTGAAACAACAGCGTCTTCTGGGACAGGGTCACAGACGACGCCAAGTTCCAACACGGGTGGGAAAAGCAGCGACTCGGTTAACGAGGGGTCACCGAGTTCATCCAACGAGATGATGTCATCGTGTGGAACAAGAGAGGAAATATCATGGGAACATATGAACGTGGATTTACCGGTAATGGATGATTCTTCTATATGGGAAGAGGCTACAATGTCGTTAGGGTTTCCATGGGTTAATGAAGGAGATAATGATATTTCTCGGTTTAATACTTGTATTTCCGGTGGCTATTCTAATTGGGATTCCTTTCATTCCCCACTTTGAGGTTTCACTAAACCCTTTCTTAACTATTATGAACTTATCATATACAAAATACATATACAAAAGCTATAGTACGTCACCGTGATCTAGGAATACATATGTGTGTAGATATACATCAGCTCCATTGTATATTATATATGAACACATGTTATATGTGTACATAAACATGTGGTTTGTTCTGTAGTGGAAAAGCAGATTCTTACCACAACATAAACATATAAAAACGACATTTGTTTGTCTCGTCTATAAAATGTGTCATTGGGAAGATTTAGAAGTGCAATGTATCTGTGTAATGAAAACGTGATAGTACGTTGTGAGTGTAACGGTCAATGTTAAGACTATACATTACACATGTCTCTGTTTAATGTCTGTGGCCTGAATCAGTCTTTGACTATTTGTCTTGTTAAATATTTGTTGTGCTGTATATATATTTTGTGTGTGTATATGTGTTCTCTCTTTCTATAGTTTCTTGGCCTTTGTGCTAAATTGCTAATATGTGTAACTCTCGTGTGGCTTTGATATATTACATGGCAAGGTTTGTGCTCGGCCCAAAACTATATCTTGAATCCACATAGTCCACTAACAAAAAATTGGTTTCTAATGCCATATTTCATTTTTCAAAACAAAATAGATAACACTTATACGACAAACTCGCTTATGCACTTTATGTCTCTGTTTATTCAAGTATAGTAAGTATTTTTTCTTGTGAAGTTGATGTTTCTAAAGATGATAAGGTACTATGAAATGTGTAAGAAATGGACCGCATGGAAATATAAGGCGTATTTTGATTATATATTTTTGGATATAGATCAACTGATATAAATTTTGAACCTACTACAAGTCAATTTGATTTTGTTCGACTTCAATTTGCTATCAAATTTTTTTTTTTTAAATAATTCAGTCTTTGACTTTTTGTCCATTTGCTAAGTTTTAGTTACTCTCAAGATTTTGGATATTTGAATAATAAATCAATTGTAGTCAACTTTTTCTAACAGATTAATTTCTTCTACTTCGATTCAGTTAAAATCGGTTCATTTTATCCAACTAGAATATCCTTTTTTATATAAAAATATCCTTATCATAAATAGAGACCATAAATGCAAATTATAACATTCTATTAATGATCGAAAAGGAAAAAAAAAAAACCCACAAGAAATGTAAAAAGATTGGCACTAATATATCAGCCAAATATATTTATATATAGAGTAGTCCCAATCCAAGCTCCCACATTCTTCATCATCTTCACCACCATCTTCATGAACAATGATGTTTGATCCACTTTTTTTTTTTCTTTCTCAAAAACCTTTCTTAGGTAATTAATATCAAAAACTAAAAAAGAAAAAGCAAACACAAAAAGTCTTAATAAAACACAAACGACACACCATTTGTTTTCCCTTTTAATTGGGTTAATGGCATCTTGTAATTATTAAAGCTTGAAAAAGAAACTCGAGTGGTCAAACATTATCCGTTGACTGATGGAGTAGTGGAGTTGTAATGGACGGCTTGATTGAGCCACGAGAAACAGGTGCATGCTCAATACCATGTTCCGCGGAGGACTGGATCGCTGCCTTCTCAAGAGCTAAAAATTTCCTCTCTTCGCTTTTACCGTATAACACAAAGTAAAGTCCTGCTATGATTAACACAGCTCCAATAATCCTGCCAATAGAGAAAAGCCACGTGGCATTACACATTGTTTAGGTCCTCGTAATTTAAAACTGTTGTAAAGCACCCGTATATTTTGTTTATTAATTTTACGTACCCTCCCAAGTAAAACTCTTCGCCTAACGCGATCGAAGCCATAATCGCAACGACTAGAGTCTGAACGGGTTGGTAAACCGCAACGAAAACTGGACCTCCTCTGTCAATACACCAAATTTGAACCGCAAACGCGATTCCAGACGCGACTATTCCCTGAAAAAATATAACAACGTAAGGACTAAATTGACAAATTTAAAACAACAGGCCAAATATCGAAATAGTTACGTAAAACAAAAAATTACCGCGTAAAGGATGGTGAACAGCTCCCAACCAGAGTGAAAAATCCAAGCTTGAGGTTCTCTTTCACAAAAAGCAGCAATGATCAAGAACTGAATGATTCCGAAGAAACAAGTGTAAGAAGTAACCGAGAGCCTAGCCGGATAAGATTTAAGAACCGGAGCTTGAAACACTAGCCAACCGGACCACGAGAGACAGTGACCAATCAGATAGATGCAACCAAGTGTCCAATTTTTCGGCGCGGCGTCCCCTAACGGTGCTAAGACGGCGGATGCGGCGGAGCTGGTGGTGAGGAGGTGAGTGTGGAGGTGACTAGCGGGAGTATAGATTGTGGGACCCTTGTAGAGAGTTATGACCGAAGCTCCGGCGACACAAAGTGCTGTTCCTAAGACTTTGGAAATACCATCTCTTCGGTTTATTCTAACTTTCTCAATCCTGATTTACATACATGAACATATGTGTTACTTAATTAGTTACTACTATGATCATATTATTTTTGTAAATATATTGAAATGTGCATTTATTGTATTGTCTACGTATAATATTATCCATTTATACGTTGAAAAAGTCAAATGAAAATTATTGAAGTGGTTCGTTACGTGTCCTCGCTGTCCATAAGTTTTAAATTATTGTTTTCTATTTTCAAAATTACGACAGGAGAAAATTGAGAAATTAATGGATTGATACCTGAGAAGAGCAGCCATGAGAAAGGTAATTGCAGGAACAGAGTTTTGCATGGACGAAGCAAATGTTGGTGAAGTGTTGTCTAGTCCCAACAAGTAAAACCCTTGGTTCGCTGTTATTCTGTCGTGTAATAAAATTTAACTAATAATCCAAATTTTGTCATTAAAAAAGTGATCAAAGTG